TTTACTTATTTTTGAGACAGGACCTTGCTAGTTTGTCTGAGTTGGATTGACACAACCTTCTTGCCTCAGCCTCTCAAGTGCTGTAATTAAAGGCATATGCCACCACACTTGTGTCTTAGCTTTTGTTTCTTGGGCAACAAAAACATAGGCAAGGGGCTAGGGAGTTAGCTCAGTGGCACTGCACTTGCCTCACAAGCGCAAGGTCCCGAGTTCTATTCCCAGTACCCCCCCAAAAAAGACAACATTATGAGAGTGAAAAAGACAGTCCACAGAATCACAGAAAACAGGGCTGGTGATTTAACTCAGTGGTGCTGCCACCCACCTCACAAGTGCAAGGTCCAGAGTTCGATCCCTGGTACCCCCCCAAAAAAAGAAAGTATTTGCAAATAATGCATCTGATAGGGCACTGATATTAACATCTAGAATATATAGGAGCTCCTACAAGTTAGTAATAAAAATATAACCCAATTCAAATATGGGAAAAATCTGGGTATGGTGGTAGATGCCTGTAATCCCAGCACTCAAGAGGGGATCACTATGAGTTCAAGGCCAGGCTGGATTATATAGCGAGACACTGCTTTAAAAAAAAAAAATGTGGAGATACTGCTTTAAAAAAAAAAAGTGGGCAAAGAATTTTAAAATTGTACATACTAGTGGACAACAGGCACATGAAGAGATAGCCATCATTATGCATGAGGAAAATGTAAGTCAAAAGCTCAAAGAAATATCAATGTCTACCCGGTAGGATGGCTATAATTTAAAATGTGGAAACAAGTATTGGTGAGGATGGGGAGAAAATGAAAATTGATACCTGCATACCAGTGTTTACCTAGTATTAGTCACAACAGCCTCAAAAGTGGAAACCTTAGTGTAACAGATGAATGGATCAACAAAATGTGGCATGTGCTTGTTATGGAATACTATTTAGCTACCAAAAAGACTTAATTCCAAATCAGTATCAACTACATAGTGAGACTCTGTCTCAAAAAACAAAACAAACAAACAAACCCCAAAAGACTGAAGTCTGGGCACATTATGACTTTGGTTCAACATTGAAAACATGATGCCACAGCAGTGTGTCCGTCCCTGAGCAGCAGATAGTACATTATCACACTGATCTGAGCTTCTCAGAGTAGTAAGATCATGGAGAGGGAGAGGTAGAAGTAGAGAGTGCCCAGCAGGGGCTGAGAGGTAGGCACAGGGAGCTGGCATTTAAGGGGGACCGAGTTCCCCTTATAGATAAGGAAAATATTCTAGAGTTGGATGCACAACCTTGACTGCCCTGCGCATTGAATTGCACACAGAAATGGCTCTCTGGGCCCTTGCTGGCCTCCAACCCTGCCCAGTGGTGACTGCTTCTGCTAGCAGCCAGGCCCAAGTGGCCCCAGTCACTGTGCGGCTCCATCTCCCTGTGAGCCGGGCCACCATCTCTGCTGGAGCCTGAGGTCCCACTTCCAGGACAGGGGCTGTGTCCCAGTTGGGTCCCTCTCTACCTGTCAGGAAGGTGTCAGACTGCTTGCTCCAGGAGCACAGCTGCAGCCCAACCCAGACAAGACTCATGGGTGGTGACACCTGGTCCCCTGCAGGGGCATAAACCAGGACCCCAGCTACAAGTTCTGGTAGAACAGGATCCCCACCCAAGCAGTTCAAGCACAATGCAGCCAGACCAGCCAGCTGGGGCCAACCAGGGCTCCCCACAGTGACAGCACTAACAGGTCAGGACCAAAGCAAGTGTGAGACAGGGTTCCCAGTGAGGGGACTGTCCCAGCATGGGTGGAGTCAGTCCTAAGTCGCAGGTGATGCCTGCTGGGCTGGAGGGCAGAGTCCAACTCCTGACAGCGTGTTCACGAAGATGAACCCTTCCCTCCCCTTTTACATGCAAATTATCCTCTTCAGAAGGGTTAGGAAGAGAGCCCCCTTGAGATAGGAAGGGTGCTCTCCGGAAAAAGCTTCTAGGAACCAACTATATTTGATTTTCAGATAAACATGGAACTGGGAGGTAGTGAATGCCTGTAATCCCAGCACTCTGGAAGCTGAGGAAGGAGGATCACTGTGATCTCAAGGCCAGCCTGGGCTACATAGCTGAAGGCCAGTGAACTACATAGGGAGACCCTGTTTCAAAAACAAAACATAATAAAACCCACAGATGAACAATGAATACCTTCTTAGTGTAAGTATATCCCAAATCTGGGATGGGTCATGGTTATGCTGTAAAACTCCCCAGTATCTAGAGCTTGGATCCAGCTGGATGTCTAATCGGAAAGGGACAGGGAAGCCTTATAATCAGGTCTCCCAGCCTTTTCAGAGCCAAGTCTACCAAATGAGGCCCCTCCTCCACCTACCACTTAGCTGAGGAATGGTCCTGGCTTGTACTCAATCTGAGCCTTAGTTTGCCAATCTGCAAAATGCAGGGGTGGTGAACCTTGAATTGTGTGGTCTGGGAACCAGCAGGAAAACAGCTTGTGAAGAAACACTGAATTTGCCAGGCAAGGTGATACATAACCGTAATCCTACCATTTGGGAAAGCTGAGGCAGGACTGCCAAGCATTTGAGACCAACCTGGGCTACACAGTCCAAGACCAGTGAGACTGTTTCAACCGACAAAGGAATGCAAAATTTCAGCACTGTCCTAGACTTGTTCCATTTGTTTCTTTCATGGTAGTAGAAATTAAACCTAGGGCCATCGGGCAAAGATACATCCCCAGCACTCTAGGAGTTACTAAGCCAGGAGGAGTCCCTTTGTCAAAGAATAAAAAAGGCACGGGATGTCACTTGGCACAAAGCTCCTGGGTTCAATCGCCAATAGTGCAAACAATGAAAAGCTCACCGTGTGATATGGGGTATACAGTTTGGAGGCTGCTCTGAGACTCAAGACAGGTACCAGCAAATGTCAGCCCTGAGCCAGGCCCCAACAGGGGTTGCACACCTCACCCCAGCCCTCAGAAGGGCAGTTATCCTACTTACAACAAACCCAGACAGGGCTGGGTGCAGCAGTGCACACCTGGGATCCCCGCATCCTGGAGGCTGAAACAGAATTACTGACTTCAAGGCCAGCCTGAGATAAGTAGCGAGATCCTGTCTCAGTAAAAGCAAACAAAAAGCAGCCACTTGGGGCGGGAGCAGGGTGGCTGTCACATGGGAATTACTCTCTAGGAAGACAATAAAGGGACATTGCCCTGTTCCATTCAACCTTACCCCCCCCAAGGAATGACCCAAAGGGCAAAGTCCTGAGCAGAGTTCCCCCAGAGCTGAGTCATTAATCCTCAGCAGATGGAGACAGCCAGATGGAACACGCTGGGCACACCCTGTTCTCTTGTCCTCCGTTATCTCGGCTGCATCAGTATCTGCCAGCAGCTCCGGCAGCTCCTGCAGAACCCTGCACTTTACTTCATTTGCTTCCTTTTGTTTTCTAACGTGTGACATCATGTTGGCAATAATCACTGGACTTTTCATCTTCAAGATGGGGTCTTTGAATTTACCACCTCCTGCCTCAGCCTCCTGAAAGCCTGGATTACAGGTGTTCTCCACCACTCCTGGCTTTGAAACCTCCCTCTGCCCGGATGAGGTCCTCATAGCCCTTTCCAGTAGCCAGAGCTTCACCATGTTGACAGGTCTGTGTGCTGGTTATGGTCTGCTTTTGTGCCAGGCCTGAGCACAACACAGCAGCTTCACTGATGCCTGACCCCGCACCTGTACCCAGACACTGTAGGATGGCGGAAGCGGTATGTGGTTTCCCGGCTCAGGGTGACTGGAGGCCCCCACAGGCAGGCCAAGGCTGGGCTGCAGGCAAAGGTGCCACTGCACCCTGGCTTTCTGCACCCCAGCCTAGACACTGCCTGAACCTCTTCTTGTCCTCCTGGCCATGTGCACACCTTGTCCCGTCTGTCCTCTCCTGGTTGGGGCACCAAGAGAGCACACAGGCTCCATTCAGGAGGCCGCCACCTTCATGGGGGCCACAAGGCTGTGAAGCCCCACACGTCCATGTTCTCTCTATGGCCAGCTAGTGCAGCTCTTAAACTGTGCAACACAGGGCTGCAGCAGCCACAGGAACAGCACAGGTACATATACAGAACCTGTCCCATGGGCCATCAGCCCCAGTAGCTCCAGCTCACTCTCCTCACACCTGCCCAGGCCTGCTGCTTCATCACTTTGCAGTCACCAGTGACCTCCTGAGCCTCAGCCCTGACACTGGAGGTACTGGGCCTTGGGAGGAGGGACCAGACCATGTGTGGGGAAGAACCACCACCTGCACCCGAGCTCCCCAACACAGTGTGACAAACGGAGGCAAGCCCTGGGGACAGAGCACAGTTCAGCCACAATAGCCAGGTCAGCCAGCACACTCAGTCCCCAGAGCCCCAATGAGATGGGAGACATCGGGGTGCTGTCCCAGCCACTAGCAGCTCCCCGTACCTGTCCCTCTCCTGCAACAGGCACGTCCCTGCCGGGGCTTACAGGGCCACTGTCTCCAGCTTCTCTGTGCCCATGCTGGGGACTGCCTGACCCCGCCATCACAGCCACTGCAAGGCCAACCTGGGCCGAACTTCACCTGTTCCCATCTCCACCCCTTGCCTCTGCATCCCCAGCCCACCCATGATGCCTGGTCATCAAGCGGCAAGCAGGGGACACCGAGGAATGGCCTAGGGTCCCACCCTTGGCCCTGAGAGGCCCAGACTGCAACCTGGAAAGGTGGTGGGGTGCTCGGCCGGGAAACAGGAGACAGCACAGCAGTAGTGTGCATTACACCAGGGCTCCTGCATCTGACAGACAAGAGCTGGCGATCTGGAAAGGAAGCGGCGGAGACAGAGGCCCTGGCACTCTGAACTCAATGCGCATGTGCTGAGGAGCAAGCAGCTAGCAGTCAGGACGGACAGTGTCCAGATGCTGTGGGCTGGACACGGGCCCAGCAGGGATCACACAGGTGGGGGTCTGCCTGGTACTGCCGCCCTCTGCCGGCCACGCCCAGGACTGCAAGCAGCACAAGCGCTAGGCTGACCCCTTTCAGAGCACTGAGGGACCAGTCTGGGACAGTAGAGGTTTATTCTGTGGGGTTTTTTGTTTGTCTGGTACTTGGTATGGAACACAGGGCCTCCACACTCAGCCACATCCCCAGTCCTTTCTCATTTTAATTTTGAGACAGGGTCTCCCTAAGTTGCTCGGGCTGGCTTCAGGTTCACCAATCTCCGCTACCAACCTCCAGAGTGGCTGGGATCACCGGCATGTGCCACTGTGCCCAGCTGCAACCTCAGGGGACAAGATGGCAGCCTGGCGGGGACAGCCCAGTCCCTGGAGTCCAGTGTCAGCACTGAGCGCTGAGTGTGTGGTGTACAGGGCTGAGTCTTGGCTGGGCACTCGCTCCTCACACACACAAGCCTGGTGGCCTCAGGAAGGTGATGCTGCCAGTCTGGGCTTCTTCCCTCTGTGCTTGAAGCTTCGCAGCGGATTCTGGGACTTTGCCTTCTACGGGGCAGAGACCAGGTTAGTGAAGTAGCAGACAACTGTCCCCAGTAAGACAGCACAGTGGGCAGCGCTGGCACATGGTGCAACCCGTGAGCCAGGGAGCAACAGCTGCTGCAGATGCAGAGGGAGGACAGCAGGGGACAGAGTGGGCCCGCATCCCACACACACCCGCCCCAGCCTGGGCAAGAAGTGAAGACACACCTTAGTCTTTCTGCCGGGTGCCTTAGCCTTCTTGCCAGAGGACAGCTTCTTCCGCTTCCTGGGAGTGCGCACAAGGCCACGGAGAGCCGGGGGGACTGGAAGAGGCCAGGCCTCAGCAGTCGCCTCGTCACCCTCGAAGCTCCAGCCTCCTGTCATCCTAACCCCAAGACCCAGTCCCAAATGGCAAGGGCTCCCCGCCCTCCAGCCAGGCTTCCCAGTGCTGTGCTCTCGGCTGAGACAAATGACACACAGTGACTTCTTCCTCACACAAACAAGGGGATGGAATAATGGCTCTGTCACACCGCCATCCACATCACTTGTCCACGGCATTGAAGTATGTGGCAGGAGTATGTGACATGAATGGGCTGGGGTGGCACTTGGGGTAGAGCGTGCTTAGCACACAGAACGAAGACAAGAGGTGGGCAGACGCAAGGAGAGCACAGACCAAGGCAACAAGTCACAGACCCCACCACCGAGACCACGCCAGCCCTGGACTCTGCCCAGGACCCCACCCATGGCCTCAGCCACACTCGAGACCACCTACTCTGCTCTGCCTCTACTCCCCTAGCCCTCTCACCACACTCACCCAGGTAGTCAGGGACGTGGCCCAGGTGTGGCTTCACCACCGCGGGGTGCAGGGGCAGGTCGTGCCGCAGCAGCTGCAGGTCACGGGGGTTGTCCTCGAAGTATGTCTGGTGGGGTAGGTTGGTGTCTTTGTTACTTCACAGTGTTTTTTGGTTTGTGATTGTATTTTTGGAGTGCTGAATGGCTACTGGGAATCAAATCTGCACCTGCTAGGCAAGTGCTTTACAATGAACTACACTCCAGGCCCATTATTATTACTATTATTATGATTATTATTTTGGTACTAGGAATTGAATTCAGGACCTTGCACTTGCCAGGCAGGCATGGTGCCGATGAGCTACATCCCCAGCCCCAGGCCCAATATTTTTTTATTTTAGTTTTTTAAAGATGGGTGTCTATGTTGCCCAAGCTGGTCTCATACTCCTGGGTTCAAGTGATCTTCCTACCTCACCCTCTTGAGTAACCGGGACTACAACCACACCCCAGACAGACTGAATCTCTGAAAGGACATCAGACCTAGGTGCTTTAACGTTTTTTTGTTTGTTTTTTTGTTGGTACCGGGGATCGAGCTCTGGTCCTTGTGCTTGGGAGGAAGGTGGCAGAACCACTAAGCTAAATCTGCCGCCCTGCTTTAACATTTAAAAGGCAGGAGGTAGCCAGGTGTGGTGCTGCACACCTGTATTCCCAGCACTCAGGAGGCTGAGGCAGGAGGATTGCTGTGAGTTCGAGACCAGCCTGCTACATAGTGAGTTTCCTACCTCACCCTCTTGAGTAACCGGGACTACAACCACACCCCAGACAGACTGAATCTCTGAAAGGACATCAGACCTAGGTGCTTTAACGTTTTTTTGTTTGTTTTTTTGTTGGTACCGGGGATCGAGCTCTGGTCCTTGTGCTTGGGAGGAAGGTGGCAGAACCACTAAGCTAAATCTGCCGCCCTGCTTTAACATTTAAAAGGCAGGAGGTAGCCAGGTGTGGTGCTGCACACCTGTATTCCCAGCACTCAGGAGGCTGAGGCAGGAGGATTGCTGTGAGTTCGAGACCAGCCTGGGCTACATAGTGAGTTCTAGGTCAGTCTCAACTACATAGTGAGACCGTCTCAAAAAAAAAACAAAAAAACAAACACAACAACAAATAAATAAATAAAAGGCACGAGGTGACATTGTGTAGTCTTCCTACCACCTCTATCCCTGTCACTGTCCTCACCCAGAGGTGGCTGCTGTTGCTATTCCTGTTCCCTGAGCCATTCAAACTTTCCCTCCTCCATGGGCAAACAGCACCCCATGTGGCTTTCACCTGGCATCACACTGCAGTGGCTCCCAAGGACACACAGGCACCCCACCTCCCATGCTGCTCAACCTCAGCAGGTGGATGCTGGGCTGCACCATCTTCTAGCTGCCCAGTTACACAGAGAGGCCCAAGGTACAGCTGTGCTGACCCTGTGCCGGGCTCCCCTCTCCCCACCTCACCTTGAGCTTCTCAGAGTGCAGCAGCTCTTCCTTGATCTCCTTCAGCCTTGCCTCCCGGATGGCCTGCTTCGTCACTGAGCGCATGGCGTCCTGTAGGAAAACACCAGAAGTCAGCCAGGGGATGGGACCCAAGTCATAGCCACACACACACAGCTCCAGCTTACCCTGCAGCGATAGCGGAAGCCTTCAATCTCCTCCATGTGAAACTGGTAGTGAATCAGGACAGGGGCCTCCCCCTCTGGGGAGAAAGGAGCAGGAAAGGCTCAGGACATGGCTGTTGTCTCCATGCTGAGACACCAGACACACATTGCTGTCCTTGGTCTCACAGGCAGCCTGCCAGTCACATGCCAATCAATCAAGAGGCACAGTACAGGGTCTACAGACAAATCCCCTCTCCCACAGGGCAGCGGGAGAGCCCCCCTGCACTTGGGTGCTTACCATCACTGAGAAGCTCCTCGATCCTGCCCAGCTGCGACTGCTCTTCGGGTAGCACAAAGGTCAACACTATGCCTGGATTGTTGGCTCGTGCTGTCCTGCAATGGGAGATGGCCCAGCCTGCATCCCTGCCCTGTGGGCTCCACCATGCTCACTGCACAGGGCCCTGAACACCAGCCTCCCAGCCCAGCCTCCTACCTTCCAGCCCGGTGGATGTAGGCCTCGAGAGATGGGGGAAGGTCGAAGTTGAGCACAGTGGACACATGGTGGAAGTCTATGCCCCGGGCCACACCTGCCTCCGGGTCAGAGGCCCTGCAGAGAGAGGCCAGGGTCAGGCAGGGCCTTTTCTCCTGTAGGACAGTTCTGAAGTTAACCAACAAAACGTCATCCAAACAAAACTGAAGACAAGATGCTGCCATACACTAGACCATTCTTTACCAAAACAATTCAAGGAGGGGCAGGGATTTAGCGCAGTGGCACCATGCCTGCCTTGCCAGCACAAGGTCCTAAATTTAATCCTTGGTAACAAAAAACAAAACAAAGCAAAAAAACATTCAAGAACAGTGCACGGTTACCCACATCTGTGCTCTCAAGGCAGGAGGATTACAAGTTCAATAGCAGCCTGGGAAATTTAAAAGAGACTTTGTAACACCTCTAGGTGAAAAACAAAAAGAGCCTCAAAATGCCAGGAGTGGTGGCACACACATCTACAACCCTAGCACTCGAGAGGCTGAGGCAGGAGGATCACTTTGAGCTCAAGGCCAGCCAGGGCTACATAGGAGTTGAAGATCAGCCTGACATAGCGAGACCGTGTCTTAAAAAAACAAAAGCTCCACAATTGTTCCAGGACCTGTGGCTGCAAACCACTGCTAGCGAGCCTGAATAACAAGCACATGCTCTCTGGGCTCAATCCCAGAAGTGCAAAAAACGAGAAATCCTCCCAGAACAGGACTGTAATGGTAGGCCTGGAGCTCTGCCACAGATCAGGGGCCAAACCCTTGTGCTGACCTCAGCTGTGGGACAACAGCAGCAGGACTCCTGCCCCACTAGGTGGCCTGGGACTCCCTCTTTCCTGGGAAACAGTCTGGGTAGCTGCCAGCCACCACCCACTGCAGGCCTGGCGTCCTCTGGCAGACAGCAGGTGCCAGTGACCTGGATGGGCTGACTGTGCTGTGCACACTGTAAACACCGTTCAGCCCCGTCCCCATCATCCGGCCCACAGCCAGGTAGCTGAACAAGGGAAAGGCTCTTTCTACTACACCACCAACCACCTGAACTACAACACCTTGCTCTCTGCACTCTGGCTTTTTAAAAATAAAAACAAAACAAAACTGAAGGCTGGGCCAGGGATTTAGCTCTGTGGTTTTGCCGCCTGCCTTGCAAGCACAAGGTCCTGAGTTCAACGCCCAGTACCAAAAAAGAAACAACTGAAGGCAGGGGTGGTATACTCCTGTTACCTCAGTACTCAGGAGGCTGAGGCAGGAGGGTCACCACAAGTCAGAACTATACAGTGAGACCATGTCTGAAAACAAAAAACAAAAAAATAAAAAACAGGCCTTGCTGGGGAGGGTGAGTGAAAAATTAGAAATATGGACTCACTTGTCTCCTTTGGGCTTTCGGCCCCGCTGCTTGCCCTTGGCTGGCGCCCCGAGGACTTCAGCATCTGTCGCTATGACACAGTCGTAGAAGCCTTGGTTGAACTGAGAGATGATGTGGCACCTACAGCCCAAGAGTGTGGTCAGTGCAGCGGGCACACTGGAGCCCCGCCCACCGCCTCCTGCTTCCTCCTCCCCCTACCTAATCTTCCCCTCTTCAACTCTGGGCCTCAAATTCCCCAGGGGAAAATGGAATAGAAGTGGGTACTCAGGGTCCTGGGAAATAGCTGTCAGCCAAGTTCAGAGACTGGCCTCTATGACGTGCTGGTGGGACAGGGTCATCAAATGGGTCCCCTCATGTGCCTGCTTGCAACCATCCCCACCAAGACGCGGCTGTACAAACCTGGAACGCAGAGGGAGCTCACCATTGAGCACACAGGCGGGGATGCTGAACTGCTCCAGGAAGAGGCGGAGCCGGTAACTCCGCTCCAGAGTGTTGACAAAGACCAGGGCCTTGCCGCGAATCAACGACAGCTTGAGCAGGGCATAGAGCAGCAGGAACTTGTCTTCCTCAGTCTCACAGACCACCTGGAACTGCTGTAACTGGTCTGGCCCTGGCAGCTGGGACTCTTGTAATTTTAGGGTAACCTGGAGAGAGGACAGGCCTATGGTCAAGGAAGAAAGACAAGTGCCATGGCCACTGGGTTGCCAACCAAAGCACAGACATTTCTGTGTAGGGCCAAGACGTCTCTAAGTATTTCTAATGCACCAAGATCCCTCTAGTTTTGTAACCTAAGAACTCAAAGTGCCCTAACTAATGTGGTGTGTTTACAACATGAGTATATGTAAAGCACTTGGAAAGAGAAACACTGATAAATGATGCTATCCAGCAGGGAAGGCCTACAGCAACAGGTCTCCTGAAAGGCAACATTTACAAAAGGTAAGAATGTTGCCCTTGTAATTTTGGGATTAGGGGTAAGGGTCCCCTGTTTAAGTTTCTAGGCAAAGCACAGTTTGAGCAGGGGACATTAGAGAATATGTAGAGAGAAAGCCTCACTAGGTAGTTCAGGCTAACCTAGAACGCCCAGAGAGCCTCCTGCCTCAGCCTCCCAAGTGCTGGGTTACAGGCATGCGCCACCACGCTCAGCTGATGCTGGCTCAATGCCTCAGAACCAGGAATGACACAGCAATGACAAAAGCTCCACCCAAAGCACCACAGGTTACTCTGAGAAGGACCGTAGAGTCCCTCAAGTGTCCCTTGCCTGCAGCTCCAGCCATGCACGCAGTTCCTCTTACCGGGTTATGCAGTACCAGTTCCTTCAGTGCCTGCACATCTTCGTTAAAAGTAGCTGACATAAGAAAAGCCTGGTAAATTCGCGGCAAGTGACTGAAAAATAGAAAATAGCCTGTCAGGCTCCAGCTTCATGGGTCTCTAAGTGAGGCAGCAGTTTCTGCTCCATCCCTGCTCCCTCCATTCCCAAATCTCTACTCCCTGACTTTCTCACTAGGAACCACCCCCACCCCTTCTTTACCAGAGAAGACTCTTGAGATCTTCCTCAAAGCCAAAGGAAAACAGAAGATCAGCTTCATCCATCACCAGCAGCTCCAGGGAGTCACGCACTTTCAGGCTGTCCTGCTGCAAGTGGCTTAATATGCGGGACGGGGTCCCCACGACCACATCTGGCTTCTCCATCAGCACAGCTCTGCAGGGGGCAAGATGTCCACATCAGGAGGAACTCAGCAGCCAGAACCTCACTCTGGACCTGCCCTCTTTACCACCCACAAACCCAATTGTACTGGTCTTCATAGTTCTGTTCTCTGCTTTCACCCACCTCTGTGAGGCTGAGTCTTCAGCAGCTGAAACATTGGCCACCCGCACATCTCGAGCACAATAAGCAGCCAGCTGCTGAATCATGGACTGGGCCTGCCGTGCCAGCTCCTTGGTAGGAACAAGGACAAGGCCTCTCACGGCCTGTTCCACCACAGGCCCTGTCTGTAGAAGCAAGAACCAAACACTGTAGCCAGCAGGAATGTCACTGGGTCTGCCAGAGGTTTTTCTGTTTCCGGGTCAACCCAAGCACTGCAATACAAAAGCTTACCCTCGTTCTGATCAGCCCCTCCCTCTACCCACCTCACAACAGAATGAAGAGCTTTCCCAGGCACTGACATTCAAAATAATTCACTCTATGGTTACAGGTTACGTGTAACACACAGGTCCTAAAGCGGACTCTCACAATAACTGTGTAAACTCAAAGCCGAGATAGACAGACCTCCTCTTTATAAGAGAAAGTAATGTATCCAAAATGTACACTCGGGCTGCTGGCAGTGGCAGCAGGGCCTGGATTAAGGTCAACTCCAGCCCACAGCGTGGGCTACACGGAGCAGCCGGTTGAGCAGGAGGCCGAGAGAAAACTTGATACCTCCTATCCCCACCCTTTTGGGTCTTGCTTCCCTCCTCCCACTGGCGCCCCCGCGACCCACCGCCTTCCGGTGGAGCAGCAACTGCAGCATCGGGAGAGCGTACGCGGCCGTCTTCCCGGAGCCCGTGCGCGCCCGAGCCAGCAGGTCCTTCCCCTCCAGCGCCAGCGGGATGGCTTTCTCCTGGATCAGCGTGGGCCGCGACCAGCCCAGGTCCGCTACCGCCTAAGAGAAACGCGGAACGTGGCTCACGGGGGGCGGAGGACGGCGGTGAGCCCTATTGAGCTTGTGGGCGGATCTCCGGTCCCCAACCCTCCTGCTACCTGCAAGAGCCGAGGATCCAGGCCCATGTGTTCGAAGCCCAGGCTCTCCAGGTCCGCCATGATTGCGCACACACGGGGAGCAAGCGCAGCGAGAAACAAGCCTGCACGTGAGGACGGGCCAATGCGTGGACCAATCAGCTTCAGCGAAACAGACACTCCCGGAAGTATTGGCTGTAAACTTCCGGCTTATTAACGGCGGTCTGCGACTGCGCAGTGCTCAGCAGCGCCCAAGACCAGGCTCCCTGGCGCTTCCGACGTTTAGGCAATGTTGGTGGGGCTTTCTCCTGCGTTGTCATGATTAACAGTCTGGGCTTAGGTCTCTGGCTGCCCGCGTGACTAGGGTGGTAGTTTGGGGAGCCCACCCCGGGCTGCACTCGGGTCCCACGCAGAGAGGTTACAGATATGTGTGTCAGATCAGAGGTCTCCCTGGGGTAAGAACGTTATCAGACTTCTGCCCCTATTTGGAGCTATTAAGATAGCAAGAAAACAAATACAAGTGGAGACTATCTGTGATCTGGTCCAAAGTTAAGAGACCAGGCCTGTACTACGTAGTGAGACCTTGTTTCAAATGTAAGAAAAGATCAGAGGACTCAACCCACTGTTGAGTGGCTTTGAAGATGGAAAAAGGGTCATAAAACAGGAGCAAGGACATGGATTATTATTCCTTGAAGTTACCAGACCCCTGTGATTACTTTAGGCCCAACCAAATAACCCAAGATAAGCAACTAGTTTCAGTCATCTGAGTGTCAGCCTTAATTCTTTGCCACATTAGTTAACACTCAGATTTAAGCATCTAGGGTACAGACACGTTTCATGGGCCAGTCCTCTGCCTACCACCTAGTACCCAAACACCCAGGACGGCTCAGAGTTACCCAGGAATTCACACCGATGATCTTGCAGGCCGAGTCTGTGCATCCAGCTGACATGGCCCAGTGTGCGCATATCAGGACCTGGGATCCATTTAGATTAAAAAGAGAGTAAGTAGCCTGTGCATCCCAAGTTGGGGGAAACCAAATGATGATGATGGGCACTGCAGTCCGTGGCAGCTGGGGAACAGGACTTCAGTAAAAGGGGTAAGAGTAGGTGCCTCCCAACCCACATTTCCTTTTTTTCTCTTTTTACTAGTCTTAAGGATGAAACCCAGAGAGTGCCAAGCTAAGTCTTCAGCTATTTCTGTTTTTGAGACAGTGTCTTGCTAAATTGCCAGGCTGGCCTCAAATTTACAATCTTCCTGCCTCAGCCTCCTAAGTAGCTGAAATTACAAATGTGCACCAACACATGGGCTTTTTCTTTTTAGTGTGAGGAAGGAGAAGGTTGTTGTGTAGGGATGTTGTAGAGTTTAAGCAAGAATATTGGTCATGTATGGTGTGCACACCTGGAATCCCAGCACTTGGGAGGCTGAGACAGGAAGGTAGCTTCAAGTGTGAGGCCAGCTTGAGCAACATTGTGTTCAAAGCCAGCCTGAATTACATAGCGAGACCCTGTCTCAAACAAAAGGAAGAATGTCAGAACGGAATCAAGGGTGATGCTAGGGGGAAATCACCAAGATTCTTTAGGTATAGCCTAACCCAAAACTGCATAGTTTGAGTTCAAGTCCAGCCTGAACTTTGTAGTAAAATCTTGTCTCAAAGAACCAAATAAGTACAAAAATATTAAATGAGGTGAGCATGGTGGCACATACCTGTAATCCCAGCCCTTGAGAGGCTGAGGCAAGAGGATTGCGGTGAGTTTGAGGCCAGCCTGGGCTACATAGTAAATTCCAGGCCAACCTGAACTGCGTAGCAAGATGCTGGCTAACAAAAAATAAAAATAAAAACAAAAAAAATTAAATGAGAAGCCAGGTGTGGTGGTACAATACCTACAATCCCAGCTCTTGCAAGGCTGAAGCAGGGGTGTCACAAGTTTAAGGCCAGGTAGGGCTACCCAGAAAAACTATCTCAAAAACAAAAACAAAAACAAAAAAACAATCTGCCCAGCGTGATGGGTCAAACTTGTAATCCCAGTACAAGGCAGGTTGAGGCAAGAGGATCACTGAGAGTTTAAGGCAACCACAGGCTACACAGGGTTACCCTAAACTACAAGTGACACCCTGCCTCAAAACACAGGAAAAATAGATACCTGTGTGGAATACTGCAGGACACAAAGAGAAATAACACGGGAATTTAGTTCTGTAGGTCAGCTAAAGTAATTTAATAAATAGGACTTCAAATAAATATAGAAGACTATGAAGGGAGATGTCAAGAAGGGACAACTAATCATATGAAGTTTTATACAGAAGAAGGGCAGGAGAGAAGCATACTGTGAATTATTCAAGCTTAGGATTCAGGGGCTAAAAAAACCAAGTACTTAATCTCAGTCCCTTGCTGATGTCTGTCTACTTGGGTGGCCTTTGAGAATGGTGAAGCAAGTACCCTATCTGGCCCCAAGAACCCTAGAGATGGGCCTGCCCAGGGGGGCACAGAGGACAAGTCCACACTGCAGTCCACCCAGGACACTGACACTGGAAGTCCAGGTGAGGAACCTTCTGCTTTTCATCTCCCCTCTGCCCATGACCTCTTGATTTCATCTCAAACATGGCTATTATAACACACTTTATTTCGCTGGAAAAATCTATATAAAGAACTAAATCTTGTTCCCTTGGGAAAAAAACATTTACCACAGCTTAAATAAGACTCAGGGAAGAGGCAGGGTTGGCGTCTCCTGCCTGTGCCAGCTCTGTCTCCATCTTACCTCTGACACCGAGGCCCTCAGGTGGGATCACAGGCATCCTAAAGCACTTCACTTGGCCTGATGAGAAGCCATGAGAAGCCTGATGACCGCAGCTGTAACAACTGCTTTCTAGTCCACACGCTGGTGGAATCCTGAGAGCTGCTGTGGCAGTTATTAAAAATGTGAACAAACACAATACACAAGGACATGGATTGGTGTTTTCAGCTAGTTACAAGCAGTAACACTTCAACTAGAAGGAAAATATATAATTTATCAAAAAATAGTTCTAATATATAGAAAAACATATCGATCCTCTGGGGCGAGACTTGCCCCTTATTTACATTCACAAAGCCATTGAGGGAATTCGGGACTGGCCAGGGGACAGTGAGGCAGGGCCTACGACTTAAACCAGTGAAAGAGAAATAGAAAGTTTTGCTCATTTTGTGAGAGAACAAAAGGGAATCAGTGGAGGCAAAAGAAACAAGAGTTCCAATTCCTCACAAGCCCTAAAACAGATTTTGAAAGATTGGACCACTGTCCTGTGTCCTTGAGAACCAGGGTTAAACAAGTATCTGATCTGAGTGGTTTGTTTTCATGGTACCAAGGTGATATTCTTTTTCCTCTCTTCTCTCCACCAAAAATCCAGATGGTGGAGGGAGTAGGTAGGAGAGTACCAAATAATAGAGGCAGAAAGGAAGGGTCATGTGGAGAGGGTGCTACACCAACTTCTTGGCCTCAAAGAAGCTCTTGAGGTGACGCATCTGCCAGATGCCGGTGATGATGAGGATGACAGTCTGCGCGATGGACCACCACAGCACCCTCTGATTAGTGCTCTCGCTGGTCAGACGGAAGCGCTCTTCACGATACTGTGATGGGTGAAGGGCACAGGGTTAATGGAGCAGGAGAAACAGTCCTGGCTGTTGTGAGATCCCTCCTTGTGCATGACCACTCAACTCCAGGACCAAACACCTTCTGGAACCCCACCTGTGATTCCATAAGGGGTGTCAGTCTCCCTGCAGCAATTGCCCTAAGGAAGGGACAGTGCTGTCCCTCCACAGGCCCCTCTGTTAGGACTGAAGTCACACTCCTACCATTCAGCAAGAGCGCAAGGGAAAGAGACAACAGCTATTACTAGACTGTGAGCTGTCTTCTCTACACATTGTTTTATACAGCTTCAAAATAAAACTAAAGCAAAAGGGGATGTATACATGTAATGGGATACTGGTCAGCCTCAAAAAGGAAGGGAATGGAACACACTCAACACAGGTGGATAATTCTGACTTTTGTGAAGACTACTGTACTTATGATTCAGACTCAAAGAATCAGAACAGGAGCTAGGGGAGGGAAGGAGAACAATATTTAATAAGTGGAGATTTTCTGTTTGGGAAGGTGCCAATTTGTGAAAATGGACAGGAATACTAGTTGTGAAATAACGTGGATGTACTTAATGCCAGAGCTGTGTACTTAGAGACAATTAAAATGCTCAGTTTTACATTATGTGTATTTTATCACCACAAAGAAAGCAAAGTGTTGAGGGTATGATCAGTGGTATAGTGAATGCACCTCACATGCAGGTGAGGCCCTAGATTCATCAAAAAAGAAGCTGGACATGGTGGTGTACACCTAAAATCTCAGAACTCAGGAGGCTGAGGCAGGAGGATCACTGCTGCTGAATTCAAGGCCAGCTTGGGCTACATAGCCAGATCCTGTCTGAAAAAAAAACAAAAACCCAAACTATCCAGACTGATACCCTCCATTCTAGCTTCTGAAGAACTGATCCCCTAGGTAGTAAAGGCCTCAAGCAGAAACTTGGAGTAAGTAGAGTGGGTATGAAGGGCAAACACAAGGAGACATTCCCTTACCCTCTGGTAATCCTGCTCCTTTTGAATCTGTTCCACCTGATCAAGCAGCTGGCGCGCCCGGAGCTGCAGCTCGGTCAGCTTATCCTTAGCAGCGATCTCCGGGTAATTATTGGCGTGCTCCCCTACCTGGATGTCCAGGTGCACTCGCTGCCAGGAAACAAGGGAGGATGAGAAGTGGACCTCTAGGTCTGCCTCAGTCTACAGACCCCACCTGGCCCTGGCTGGGGGACAGAAGGGCAACATTTGTCTCCCACTTCTGACCCCGTGATGAAGTGTCACTTATGACAATGGCGACAGATCAAAATCGAGACGTTCCAAGTTGAGGCCAAGAATTCCTCTTACCAGCTTCCCCCCAGCAAAGAGGGCCATCCTGGTGGAGTTGGAGTGCAGGCAGATCTGATGCTCACCGGGCGTGTGGGAAGTAAACGTGAAGCGGCCCTCGGAGCCGTACTGCCGGGACAGGACGACCTGCAACCACAGCAGCGATCGCCACCATGACCGTGAGCTCGCGAAGTGCAAGCTCGGTCCACGAGACAGAGCCTACACCCCACAGGGCCCGGCACGGGCACCCTCACCTTGCCGTCGGGGTCCTTCACCTCCACGTGCATGCCCAGGCCGGGGGTCGAGGGCAGGAAGGCCTCCTTCTGCCTGTCCCACATCTGGGTTCGGTAGTTGCCTGCGGGGCAGACACACAGTCATGATCCGGCCCCTCGCTTTGTGGCCCGGGGCGCTGGGCAGGGGGCCTGGCTCCTCCGGGCGCCCTCAGGCCGGGCCTGGGTGGGGGGACGACCCAGCGGGGTTCGGGAAAGGGGCGCTTCCGATCAGGCCGGGCCTGGGTGGGGGGACGACCCAGCGGGGTTCGGGAAAGGGGCGCTTCCGAGGACGGGGCAAAAACAAAGGGCCGCTCCACCCTCGGCCCGCCTGACCGATGACCATGGTCTCGTCGGGGATTTCCTCGATGAAACAACGCTTCTCAGTCTCGCCGATGTGGAAGTAGAGGCCACGGGCGCCCGCGGCGCACAGAGTGAGGAACAACAGCACCGGCTTCCACATCTCCCGTAGCCGACCGACCCTGACACCTGCCAACTAGCCTGGCCTCCCAAGCGCATGCGCGCCTTTGCACCCTGCTTTGCGCCTGCGCCCCGCCTCAGCGCTTCCCGCGAGATGGCGCCTGCGCAGTGATGTCCACCCTCGGTTTCCCAAACTTCGTTACTGTAGGTCGCTAGTTGCTCTGCGCCTGCGTGCTGCCTTTGCAACGCCGCGAACCCGGGAGAAAGCGCCTGCGCAGTGGCGCGAACCTCCCTTCGGGTCGGGTGTCTCGCAGCGCAGTTCACGTGTGCGCTGCCCTTGCCCAGGGACTCAGGGACAAGGAAATCTGATTCTGCCGATACCCGGGAGACTTGCCGTGGTGGGCGGCGCCCAGACCTCACTTGGCTAAAACAGAGGCCCCGGCCGTTTTCCTTAGTGTACCTGGTGTGCTTGCCGCCATCCGTTTATCCAGTGAGAATGGGACGGAGCGGACGCCCCGTCTGGACCTGCGATCCTTCGCAGACCCCGCGTTACCAAAGCTTGGGTTCTTTTGTGAGACGCTGAGCTTTGGCTTTTGGCAGGAAGTCTCGGGGTTTGCAGAGGGCAGCATTTCCCTCGCTTTCGCCAGCTGGAATGACAGTTTGCAGTGTTCAGGTTTACACTGTGTGAGCTCTGTCTGCCTTTCTAGGGGACTCAGGGCTGTGTCCCTTCACAGCCTCTCTACCTCATTCTCCAACCTTCGTGTTCTGAAAAACGCATAACTAACGTACCCAGGCTGATCTAAAACTCACAATCTTCCTGCCTCAGCCTCCTCGGTGCTGGATTTCCAGGTATGTGCCCCTATGCCTGGGTTTTGTTGGATAATCTTAAACAGATTCTATCCCCCATTGTAGAAAATTTACTTTAGGTAATCAGCTTTACTCCTCAAAGGTGATGAAGCACCTAAAGGCCTACTATTCCAATTACTTGGGAGGCTGAGGCAGGAGAATCACAAGGTCAAGCCCAGTCAATGGCGATTTAGCAAGATCCTGCCTCAAAGTGAAAAATAAAACAGGTTGGGAATGTAGCTCAGTGTGAAGGCCCTAGGTTCGATCCCCAGGCTCCCTAGGTTTTGTTCAGGTCTGCCAAACCTTCCTTTGCATACTGAAGAAGTATGTGGTGTACAGACATTTGTGGCAGCTGCTGTTCTAAGATCACAGTGGTAACCAAAATACAAGCCCTCATCTGGAGGCTGTCTGCTGATAAACAAGAAGAGTAAATAAATAAACAAGGTCAAACGGAGTAAGTGTCTAAGAGGAAGGGGGAATAAAAAGATGATGATGTGTACACATCCAAGTCCCCAGGAGGAATGTTAACATCATACTCGGCAAACAAGAATTATTAAACATTTGGGGTTTTTCTTTTAATTTTTAGGTGTCAAAAAGGAGGGGCAACGCTCCTTTCCTGGGACCCCTCTCTCTTAGACAGAAACTACCTCTCAGCAAACTTTTCCTACTCTTAAAAAAAAGGGAAAAAATGTCAGAGGAGAAAAAGGCAAGGAAGAAGAAGCGGGTATGGTGAGTTAAATGGAGGCCTCCAGAAGATATGTCCATGTCTGACTCCCGGGAACCTTTGGATGTGACCTTAACTCAGAACCTCTGCAGGTGTAGTTGGGGATTTTGAAACATGATGATCTGGATTAACTAGCAGTGCCTTAAATCCGGTGACACCGAAACCACTCACCCCTTCAGTTGACTGCTATCTGCAATAACAAAACAAAAAACGGGTTCAGGGATTTAGCTCAGTGGTGTCACCACCTGCCTCACAAGCACAAGGTCCCAAGTTCCATCCTTGGTATAAATTTTTTTTCGGGGGACTCAGCTCTGCCCTTTCCCACAGCTGCACTGGCACAATGTCCAGGGGCTATCCTGACTTGGCGAAGCTCAGGGAGGCCCGAGGCTGGCCCCCAGATTCCCTCACCACACAAAG